ATAGGGTCACAGACACACAACACTTGTACCACCCAGTACAGGGATAACAGAGTCTATTAGAGGAAAATTTATAGAGAATAGAGAACATGGAACCGCCAAACTCTCATTTCCCCACAGCATGGGCCAGGTATAGACCGTCTGTATGCACCATAGGCAACGTCTAGCAGAGAACACTCAACCTCTGAGAGTAGTCTGGACTCACAAGAGAAAGGACCTGCTTCACACCACATTACACATTTAAGTTGCTATGAAACCTACGTTGGCCTATAGAATACTTAGGTTCTCTAGGTCATAAGAAATGAATGACAGGATCTCTAGGCCCAGGAAGAAGAGTGGGGAGAATACATATTGAGGGCCTGAGACTACACTGAAGGTCAAAGTCTGCATACAGAGGGCCCTGGAACCATCTTGAAAAGCCTCTGTAAACCCAGAAAGCTTTTATCTTTCTGGTGCTCCTTTGCAGACTGGCTGGGGCCAGCTCAGCCTGGCAGAAGGAGATAGGTGTGGAGGTCATCCAGATTAGTTTCCCAGCAGAGATAAAAAGAAGAGAGTGAAAATCTCCCCTAACCTCTTCCTCTGCCTTCTCCCCATCAATTAAAACAAGATTGAGTCATTTTTCCCCCTTCAGATTGACCAAATTTTAGAGATGAATATTATGCAGCATTGGTGAGACATTCAGAAAGGTTCTGCTCATAATACTCATAGGAGTATAAACTGGTAGCTTTGTGGGGAAATTTGAGACTATCTACAAATTTTGAATGCGAACATCTTTTGACTCAGCAACTCTACTTCTAGTAAAATTTTTTAAAGAAGTACTCCAGCACTTGTACAAAAAGATGTCTGTTGCAACAAAATGTTGGAAAGACCAATAGGAATGAGCAAATAAATTATGGCACATTGTTCTGTGAAATACTATGCAGTAGTTAAGAATGAAGCACAGGGGCCGGCCCCGTGGCCGAGTGGTTACGGTTGCGGGCTCCACTTCGGCGGCCCAGGGTTTCACTGGTTCGGATCCTAGGCACAGTCATGGCACCGATCATCAGGCCATGCTGAGGTGGCGTCCCACATGCCACAACTAGAAAGACCCACAACCAAAATATACAACTATGTACAGGGGGGATTTGGGGAGAAAAAGCAGAAAAAAAAAAGAATGAAGTCCAGTAGTTTCCCCTCATCTGTGAGAGAGACGTTCCAAGACCCCCAGTGGTTGCCTGAAACCACACATAGTACCGAACTCTCTATATATATCATGTTTTTTCCTATACACACATATTTCAGGTGTGACAGCAAAACTAGCAAACAGTTCTTTTTCCTTCTCCACAATTTCACAGATAGAAGATTCATTCGTACCGTAGATCTTCAGTACTTCAGTATATGATTTCTTTTCTTTCCTTAGTAAGTCAAGAATTTTCACCTTTTCACATAAAGGAAGCACTTTATGGCTTCTCTTTGGCATATTCCAATTGCCAGCATCACTACTCTTGCACTTTGGGGCCGTTATTAAGTAAAATAAGGGTTACCTGAACAGAAGCACTGCTATACCCCAACAGTCGATCTGATAACCAAGGTGGCTACTAAGTGATTAACGGCGGGGAGCATGTATCCATGGATACGCTAGACAAAGGGGAGATGCACGTCCTGAGCGGAATGGAGCAGGACAGGCTGAGATTTCATCACACTACCCAGAACAGTGAACAATTTAAAACTTATGAATTGTTTATTTCTGGAATTTTCCATTTAATATTTTTGGACTGTGATTGACTGTGGGTAATGGAAACTGCAGAAAACAAAACTGTGAATAAAGGAGGACTACGGTAGATTTATAGGTACCAACATAAATATTGCTCTACAACACATTTTTGATCATTTATATTTTTTGATTTGGAATGGGCAAAAAATTCCTACTTAATAATTACTTCGGTTTAAAATTAATATCCAATTTACTAATGCTACAAAATTGCTACACTGTTGCTGGTAGTGATACATATTTGCTCACCAGCAGGTGAAGCCTTGAATAAATTGATTATATTTGAATCCCCAGAGTGTCTTAGAATCTAGTACATTATAGGTACTCAAGAACTGTCCAATTAATGAATGAAACAGTCAGGCCAGCAGCTCCAAGATTTCTTCCAGCTCCAGATCTTTGATTCTAACTGGGGAAAAACTGTTCTTATTAGTAAAATGGTCATGACAATACCTACGTCACAGAGGGGCTGTGATGATAAAACAAATAGGTAAAATTGAGTCCTAAGTTATAATTTGATATGCAACTTCTAGGAACTATTATGTTGTTGGTCTTCACTGGATAAAAATTACTTCTCTGCCAAGTTCAGAGGCACTCTGGGAAGTTTGAGAGAGCCTCATTTCAGTGTGTATGTAGGAGGAGGGGAGAGGCATGAAAGAGGGGGCAGAAAGAAGGGTCAACCATTAAGAACACTGCCAGAGTTGAGGCTAAAGAGGGGGCTGATGGCAAATGCCAAGCCTGAATGCTTAGCCATGTTAAAAAAAAAAAAGTAATTATAGGGGACTTATAGGGGACTGGTCTGGTGGCGCAGCGATTAAGTTTGCACGTTCTGCTTCAGCAGCCCGGGGTTCGCTGGTTCAGATCCCAGGTGTGGATATGGCACCGCTTGGCTAAGCCATGCTGTGGCAGGCGTCCCACATATAAAGTAGAGGAAGATGGGCATGGATATCATGGCCAGTTTTCCTCAGCAAAAAGAGGAGGATTGTCACAGATGTTAGCTCAGGGCTAATCTTCCTCAAAAAAAAAAAGAGAGAGAAAAGTAATAACAAGAGTTAGGAAAGGCTTTATACTTGTTAAAAGCTTTAAGCATGCACAATATTTAATCCGCACAACCAGGAAGCTCTTGAAGTTGGGTTGGGCCTCCAGAGAAGTTCCAGTCCAGTTTCCTTACCTGATTGTCATCCCTTGCTCATATTTCTTGGGAAACTAAATGGCAGACTTCTAAAAGTAACTGGAACAGAAAGCATCTGTCAAGGTGGGTGTGAGCTCTCTAGGGCTGCCATAATAAATGATAACAAACTGGGGGGCTTAAAATAAGAGAAATGTACCCTCTCACAGGTCTAGAGGACAGAATTCTGAAACTAAAGTGCCTGCAGGATTGGTTCCTTCTGGGGGCTGGAAAGGAGAATTTGTCCACACCTCTCTCCTAGCTTCGAGGCTGGCAATCCTTGGCATCCCTTGGCTTGTAGACCCATCATTTCAGTCTCTGCCTCCATCTTCATGTCACCTTCTTCTCTTCACATGTCTCCTCTCCTGTCTGTGTCTTTTCCTCTTCTTATAAAGACACTTGCCACTGGATTTAGGGTCTACCTGGATAATCCAGGATGGCATCATCTTAAAATCCTTAACTTAATTATATCTACAAAGACCCTTTCCTCAAATAAGGTCACATTCAGAGGTTCTGGGTAGAAATATCTTTGGGGGATGGGGGCAAACATTTAACCCACAACAGCATGTTTGCATGATTTTCGTTCTAGAAGGTCATTAGAACAGAAACATAAAGGGAAGTCAAAGCTAAAAATGAAAAATGTAAAGTTTCCTGGGCAGTTTCGAGTTAGCAGATGTAAGCGGTTTGTGGTATCCTCTTTAAAAATTGACCCTAGCTGGGAATGTTACTAAAACAGACACCACATACTTATCCAGTAAAGCTGATCAGCCTCCCAATTTCTCTTCATAGACTTAGTTAAAGTAAATATTCGCAATTGTAACCTACTGAGATATGTAATTATTGAGAGGAAAAGAGCATAAATAAGCTGCCTAAGAGAGTTTGAGTTGCCATCCACTAAATTTAGATTCTGTTTCCAGTAAGGTGGCAGACTAAAAACCCGAACGAATCCTTTTGGTAAAAACAACTAAAAATCTGAGAAAAATTTTACAAGTCAATGAGCGGTCACAAAAGTAAGGAATTCTCCAGTCAGGGACTGAATGAAGACAAGGACCTCTAGCGGATGTTGAGGCTGCACGCTATATAGCCAGTCATTTACCAAACGAGGAGGGAGGGGAGATGGAGAGTGAGCTTTGCATTTGTGACCTCAAGGGGCTCCAGAGACACAGCCCAGAGCCGCACCCCAAGTTGAGGAGTCTAACGGGACATCTTCCCCCCTAGAAGCTGGGATCCCAGGGGGTTAAACCATCAGTTTAAATTTGAACTTAGAAATAGGCTGGTATCACTCCTCAACCCCTCACTTCTCCTATCTCACTCCCAGCTCTAGAGGACAGAAAAGCAAATCTATTACCTCAAAGTTTAGCGCTACGTAAAAGGGATTAAAAAATAGAAGTTGGCCATCGCAAGTGTTTTCAGCCTGAATTCACACTACCTGGGAGAAGTGGAGAAATCTCTTGGTGAATACTTAATTTAACGTGACCCTAGACTCGCAGTTCCCGGAAACCCAGACGACGCAAAGGAAAACCCTCTCTCAAGCGCTTCACCTCTAATCTGGCTAAAGGTAATTTCCGCAGGTAAACTTCCAAAGCGTGGAGCAGCTCATAGTACAAAATAACTAAACAGCCAAAGCACCGTAAGTAAGGACCAACAAAAACAACAGATTACATAAAAAAGTTCATAACATTATGACTTAACTCTATGTGCCTGAGGCCTGAAAGATGTGTGTGTATGTACATACTTATACATACGTAGTGTATGTATAAAAGAGATAGGCAAATTCGAACCAAGAGCACACTGATATAGCTATACTGACAATAGAGAAAACATATTTTAAGCAACAAAAATTGCCAGAGATAGTTATTTCATAAAGATAAAGGATTCAATTCATCAGAAACCATAATAATTTTAAATTTGCATGCACTAATAATAGCCTCAAGATATACTGACAAAACTATAAAGAGTAAAAGGCAAATTCAAAATCATAGTCGACTTTTAAATACTCCTCTCGGTAACTGATAGAATGAGCAGATAAAAATGTATTTTAAGAATTAGTAAGGAGGACTCACGCGCAGGTGAGGGAGGCCTTCTCACCTGTGGGAGGTAAAGAAGGGTTTTCTGGAGGCAAGTGGCCTGATCAAATTTGTCCTCCGAGATGCAGGCATTGCAGGAGACCAGGCACGTATGGCTGCGATCGCACGGGAGGGAGGGAGAGGCGCCAGAATCAAGAAAACAGAAAGTAGCATCCACCAGAGGCGCCTCGCTGGGAACTACGTGGGAAAAGGAATCACCTCCCAGCGGGCTCGGGCGTAAGGACAGAGACCTCGGGAAAGGGTCCCCTCTGCCGCATCACAGACCATAGGTAACTTCAAGACACCTGGGAGCCCTCCTGGACTCTTTCAAAGAGGCTCACCCCCCCATTTTCTCTGCTCCCGCGCTGCAGGGCGCTGCCGTTAGAGGAAGACTGGCCGCTCCGGGAGCACTTGGAATGCTTCCTGCTCCCTGTCTCCCTCCATGAGGACTCTCACGTCAGCTCTCGCGTGGTGTTTCTTTTCCCTCAAGAAAGGACAATGACTTAACTTGGGCCGTAGCTGGTCTTCAGAAAGAATTTTATGGTATGGTATCTGTATGATACCTAATGATGGTGTCTCTGCAGCTATCAGACTCAGTGAGCCATTGTCAGAAAAATATTAGCCCTTAAAGGTACAAATCAATGTGATATGTCAGGGGGAAAAAATTAGTAAGGATGAAGAGGGGTTGAATATTACAATGAACAAACTTGACCTAATGAAGATAGAGATATATATAGACATATACAGATATATATAAACAAATGGCCAAGGAGGACATGAAAAAGTGCCCAACATCATTAGTCATTGGAGAAATGTAAATTAAAACCAAAGAGAAGTAGGAAACAAAAGCCTCAAGGATGACTTATGTGTTTCCACTTCTGGCCAAGATGGAGTAATGGGAACCAGGTTTACCCTCCTGTTTGAAAAAACAGGACATTATATATATATATAATGCCTCTATACCATGTATAGCATACCACTTAACTGCACAATATACGTTATTTTCCTGCACATAGGTAACAGTTACAATAATCGATTGTACGTAGGCTGAATCTCAACAAATTTCAAGGGAATAAAATATAGAGATATAATATTGCATATATCATAACACAGCTAAGCTCAGAATCAAAATGAAAATAACTAGTAAAACTCACTGTTGGAAATTAAGAAGCATTTATTTCTATAATATATTGGTCAGAAATAAATCATAATAGATCTGAAATTATTTAGAACTAAGTACTAATGAAAACATACACATCAAACTTGGGGAATTCATTGAAGCAGTACTTACAGGGAAATGCTGACATTAGAAAACAAGAAAATCTGAAATTTAATGAGCTAAATACTAATTCTAAGAAGTTAAAAAAAAAGGATTGCAAAATAAACGCAAAGAAAGAGAAAGGAAATAATAAAGAACAGAATTTAATAAAATAGAAAATTAACATACAATAGAGACAATCTATTCAAAATAATCTATTCAAAAGTTAGTGCTTTGTAAAGACCAAAACAAACTTGAAAATCTCTAGTGATATTATTGGTCAAGGAAAAATAAAAAAAGAGAAAAGACACAAGTCACCATTATCAGGAAGAACGAAGAGGATATAGTATAGATTCTGCAGACATTGCAAAGATAAAATATTATAAAAACCATTGTGCCAATAAATATAAATATATAGATGAAATGGATAAAATCCTAGAACGTTAAATCTAGTGTATTGCATCAAAATTCAATTATATAATTTATAAATTAAAACCCTGCATAAATAGTAACATTAAAATATCAAAGATAGGAAGACGGTTGTTAAGGTATCAGTTTTCCCCCAAATGGATCTGTTCATTCAATAGAATTGATGCATTTCCAATCATAATCTCACTAAGCTCTTTTTTGTAGAAAGTGACAAGTTCATTCTAAGATGTGGAAATACAAACAACTTAAATAGCCAATGCAATCTCGAAAAAGGAGGATAAAGTTGGTGGACTTATACTACCTGACTTCAAAACTTTTATTATAAAGCTACAGAATCAAGACAGCATGGTACTGGTAAAAGACTAAAAACTTAGATTAATGGAGTGGAATAGAAGGCATTTGTTAGTTTTCGACAAATGGTACTGGAACAAATGGATGCTCATAGGGCGAAAAAAATTAACCTTGATCCCTATCTCATGCCATATACAAAAATTAATTTGAAATAAACATAGACATAAAGCAAACATTAAACTATAAAGCTTTTAGAAGTATAGAGAATAACTCATGACTTGGAGGTACACAAAGATTTCTCAGAATTGATACAGAAATCATTACCATAAAAGAGAAATTAATAAATTAGACTTCAAAACTTTTTAAACTTCTGCTTAAAGAAAGACGTTGCTAAGAAAATGACTTGGCAAGCTATGGACTGGGAGAAAATATTTGCAAAATACACATCTGATAAAAAAACTCGTGTTCATGATATACAACTCAAGAATTCCTACAGCTCAAAAATAAAAAGAGAAGCAACACAATTAAAAAAAATAGGGGCACATGTGTACAGTGACAGATGGCAACTAGACGTCTGGTGGTGAACATGGTGCAGTCTATACAGAAGTGGAAATATGATGTACACCTGAAGTTTATATAATGTCATAAACCAATGTGACTTCAATAAAAAGGACAGGCAAATGATTTGGACATTTTATCAAAAAGATAAACAATTAATGAGTACGTGAAAAAGTACCCATCATTAGTGATCAGAGAAACGTAAATTAAAACCAAAATGAGTAAATTAAAACTTACAAAAATGTAAATTAAAACTAAAAATGAGTAAGAAACAAAATCATCAAGAATGACTCATATATTACCACTTCTGGACAAGATGGAGAAACAGGGACCAGATTTACCCTCCTGTTTGAAACAACCAAACAAAAAGGACAAGATATATGGAAGAACAATTCTCAAAGTCAGACAACGAATCTGAACAGTGGTGATCTCTAAGAAACAGTGAACAAATGAGGTGAGCTGGAAGATGGCCCCAGCTTACTGTTTGGAGAGTCTCCAGGTCACAGAGCAGGGAAGGGACACGTTTCTGGAAGTCTCCTTGAGCTGAGGAAACAGCTGAGCGTCTGATGAGGTTGAGCTGGCTACACCTTCTGGGGCAGAATACGAAAGAGCCCTGCCCCGAGAGAGAACTTTGAGATCTGCAGAGGGCGCCCTTAAGTATTCAGCTGAGGACTCAGCAGTGCGTGTGTATGAGGAAAATACCCAGGGCCAGGCAAAGAACCACCTGCCACGATTTGAGGAAACAATCACCAGCCGTCACGCAGCCCTGGGAGTGGTGCAAATCTGTGACTCCCTGGAACCCCATGTTTCACGAAGGCAGCATACTGATCAGTCTCTGTATCCCAAACCTTAGCCCTTAGAAGGTACCCCCAAAATGCCTGTGCGATTGAACTGCTAACTCTCAGCAATATATTTCAACAGATTAGAGTCAACCGTGTACCAAGCACTTGGAGTCATTAATGTCACCTGACCAGCCTAAGACAAAGTGTGACTTAGGAAAAGTTTCTTTTAAGTGTGAACACCTCTCTGTACTCTTCAAAGCTTGCCACCATTACCTCCATTGTCCCCTGCCAACAACTCTGCCCCTACCCCACTCCTGTCAGCTCCCTGGGTGCTCCTTCTGGCCTGCCATCCCCAAGCTCTGGGACTTTTCCTTACTGCTACTGCCTGTCAATCCTGCCCCGCATCTCATTCCTTCAGGATCAGTCCCTCTGCTTCTCAAAGTGGCAGCCAGCCTTTCACAGCCCAATCTGTGCTAATGTGTGATAAGCTAGGAATAAAGGGTTTTTACCTCTGGCGCTCTCTGTCACATCTTCCCTTTCCAACACCCTTCCTCTCCCGATGTGCTATATTACTTCATGGTTGACTGCACTTTCCCCAGAGACACCATATCTCAGCACAGGAAGGGCTGCAGTGGTGGAAGTTGCTCGTACTCCGGCAGACACAAAGAAGAGTTTGGAGCAAGCAGGCCTGACCATGCCCGCTTAAATCCCATCAAGGACAAAGTCACTTCTTTTTCCTCTACATAGGGCCCACCCCCGACAAGACTCTAAACTCAATATCCAAAACAACTCAGCATTTCACAGGGGCGTAAATGCCCTATGTGTATGGAGGAAGGAAGGATAGGAGGGAAGTGAGAATAAAGAAATATCATTCAACAAACCCTCATTCAATATCTCCTACGTATCGGGCATTGCTCTAGGGGTGAGGGATAAAGCAGTAAACAAATAGTTTTGTTCCCTTTACGTGAGCGGTCCTCAAAATTTCCCCACCATGGAAATTTCCACCTTGGAACTTTGAGTTTGTATTTTCAAAAAGCTCCCCAGGTTATTTTGATTATCAGCCAATTGGAGGAACCACTGTGGAAGCACCAAGTTGAGATTCTCCTCGTCAACTAAGAAAGCAACTACGATATTCTCTGCTGCTGATGTTGAGAAGCCAGTTTTGTTAAATATCAAGATGCTGCTCTTCACACGCTACACCTGCATCCAGGGCCTGTCTGAGGCAAACGGGAGGTGGGCAATGTTGGCCTTTGGTGTCTCCAAGGTCTTTCCCCAAACACCCAGGGCTTTCCTGATCTTCTCTATATGCCTGTGGCTCGTGCAATCACCTGCACCTGCACCCCTGAGTAAGTTCTCCAAGTTCTAGGTATTTATCAACTCCCTCGCCACCTGCCCATCAATTACATCTGACAATATAACGTGTGTTGAGAACTTTTCATAAGCCAGGTGTGTTCTTACTGATTTACACACATTTTATCATGTAATCCTAAAAACAACTCTATGTAGTAGGTATCATCTTTGCTTTACAGATGAGGAAAGTGAGACACAGAAAGAGCATATAACATGGCCATTGTTACTAAGAATGAGGTCATTCTTTAGGTATTAAGATGACTTGTTCACTTCTGTATCCACGGTACTTGCAATAACACCTAGGTCATCGTAGGCACACCACAAATGTTTATTGAAAGAATGCGTGTTATGGGCATAATTATCCCATAACACTTCACTGCATACATGGTTGCCCTATAAAGGCTTGCTATGTGGTTTGTGGCAAATAGAAACTAAAACATTTACCATCATACTATATTGCCTCCCACCTCAGGTAAATTGAATGAATAAATGACCTCCTGACTGGAATAACATATTTGAAGACACAGGTCACAAAAACAAAGAGAGCCGCTTATAAAAATTAATCATAAATTACATTGTGTGCTTTCTACCTTAGCTTCTATGAACAAAAATTGAATGTCATGGACACTTAAGAAAGA